GAATGTCAAGCCAAAGGTCCAGCCAGCCGGCACCACATTAGTAAATACGAGTGTCTGACCATCTGTGATGGTGACCCTGAACGAGAGCCTTTTCCCACTGAGATACGCCATAGAGTGCCAGTTTGCACCCCAGTTGCGTGCCATGGGCATCCAATCCGTGGAATCGGAGGTCCTGACATCCATGGATTTGATGGAGCCAGCCCCTGCGACGTTGGTGACAAGCACGAGGTTGAAGTAGTCGTGGCCATTGATCATGAACCTGACTCTACCTCGCCGAACGCATGGAACTCTGCACGCACACCAAGTTTCCATTTACTAATAGAGATCGACCATCGAGTGCAAGACAATTCTCCTCGGTCAATTAACACAGACAGAGTATATAATACTGACCTCTGGTAGATGACGGGGATGATGCCGGTGCTGATGTCGCTGCCAATCTTCTCCCAGGCCGGCTGCGCCATGTCGAAGTGCGGGCGCTGCTGATTGCACCACCCGCCGTCGGGCAACGCCGAGTTGGGCGGGCAGAAGTTGGTGGCGGTGACGGTGACCGTGACGCCGGGCTTGCACAACGTCGGGTCCGTCTTGCGGTCGCAGGCGATCTTGTAGCACTGGCCGCAGGACGCGCCGTCGTTGAAGAGCACCGTGCTCAGCGCCGCCGTGCGCGAGCCGTACCCCTGCGAGTACAGGTTCCCGTACCCGCATGCACCGCCCATGGTCCCGGAGGCATCGGCTCCGCCGTAGAACGTCGCGTGCGCCCCCCTCAGCCATCCGGTCGTCGGCGGCGGTGCGTTGGCTGCGACGCCACGGCCAACGCCCACGCGCACTGTGAGCAGAAGCAGAGCTGCCAAAATTGGAGCTGGAGCCATTCCAATCGATGTGAACTACTACTCGCAAACACTACTGTCTAGAGCTGCAACAGGTGTTTGTGTGTTGTGTGTCCAGTCCCGGCCGTTGGAGTGTGTGTGTATAGCACACTTTTCCTTTGTTGATGTGATTATCGGATGTTTAATTGCCTGTGATGTGCAGGAGTATAAATAGCCTTTTGTACGTAATCTCTACTCAATTGGTGGCTTGAGGTTGAGGATTATATAAACTGAAGGAGGATGCAGGCAGGAAGGATGTAGGCGCTATAGCGTGCACATGCGCACGGCCGCGCCGCCGCGCCGACCTGCTTTCTCATCTCGGTACCTCAATCGTCCGTCGGCTCATCTTCATCTGTTGGACTTTTACTTGTTCGACGTGAGAAGAGCATGCATCTTGGATTGACTTCTGAAGGCAAGGCTATAGCTTAAATATAAATATTGTTTCGAACGCGGTTCTCTGTTGGAGTTGGGAGGACGTACTCGGTACTCCCTTGTCCAAGGAAGCATGAAGTTGAGGCTGGTCGAACGAATGCATGCACCTGGTCCGGCCGCCGCGGAACCAGAGATTCAGAGTTGAGGTAACGTCAAGCCAGGATAACCGGATATGTTCATCACAGGAGCCTTACAAAGTAGCATGGGCATGGGCATAAGGGTTCCACACAAGATAAAATAATTAGGCGTTACTGGCCCCAGACGTCAGGACGGACGCCCGCGGCTGCTTTGCTTCCCGCGCGTGGCGAGCGGACGACGTGGACCGGAGCCACTACGCGAGCATTGCGCCGCCGTCGGCCCACTGGGGCCATCACCTCCACGGGCAGAAGATCCGTGCGCAGGTAGCCATGGCACTGGCGACGCCATGGCCGTGGTGCCGCAGCGGCGCAACGAGCCGGCGATGGGGTGCAAGGGGTCCAAGCCCGACGACCAGGAGGCCATCGTGCTCTGCCGCGCCCTCGTCGAGCTGCTCGCCGCGGCCGTCCTCCACCACTACACGCTCGCCGACCCGAACGTGGCGCTCGCGGACTCCATCGAGTCGGTCGTCGCGCCGCTCCACCGCCTCCTCCGCCTACAGGTGGCCGATTCGCCGAGGCTCACGCTGCCCTCCGCGTGCAAGGGCGGTGGTGGCGCGCCTACAAACCGGTTGTCGCGCTCCTTCGACCCGTCGTCGGCATCGTTGCCTGCCCACGGTCATTCCTCGCGCCTCCAGTTCAGCGCGTCGCCCGCCGGGATCCGAGCCGGCGTCGCCGGCCGACTCGCCTTCGCGCCGTGTCCCCGAGCAGCTACAGCACCCGCATTACGCCGCGTACAGGCCCACAGGCTGCTCCTCGAGCCAGACGTGCCCACGTCCGCGCCGAGCAGGGCGACGACGCTCGAGCAGGCTGCGGCGGTGTGCTAGTAGGCTGTGGGCTGCGGTGCGCGCAGCAGGGAGGTGGCGCTCGAGCAGCACGACTGTGACATCCGGCCCAGTTTAAAATTTAGCACATAGTGGCCCATATGCAAGTTAATGAGATATTATGAAGAGTTTAGTCCCATATTGGTTGTTAAAAGAGGGATAGACCAATATATAAGGCTTTTAGAGTTCATCCCACCATCCTCGGGTTAATCCTTTTACGCGAAGCGAGAACGAAAGCGTAAGTGGGAGTGGGGATGGTGGTGCAAAGTGGTGTCGTTTGGACTCGGGACGTTCAAAGTGGTATGTCGACCGTGGGACGCGAGCCTAGTAGAAACCCGGTCGAGAAGTGGATCTAAAAGTTACTCTTGAACCTTGATATTTTCTTTTACTATAATGATTTGTAATGATCTTGGTGCTTTTTTAAAGTCATTGTTCTTCCACTCCTTGATTTGATATGCAATAATTTATTTAGTTATCCTTATAGGTCAATAGTATCGCAAGTTGAGTCAATGATTGCATTGCGCATCTTTATTGCTTGTTGAATTGTCATTATGCTTATGATTGTTTTGAATCTTTGTAATGATTGTAATGATCTTGTTGGGTGTTCCCACAATTTTATTTAGTTTATAGGCCTAAGGTATAAGGATTCGTGCAATAAATAGTTGGGTTCTAGTATTCTTCTGTTTTCTCTATCCTGTCTTTTCGGAGCAGCCTGCACTTTTTGGCTTATATCTCTAATCTTATATGACCAAAAATCACGAGAAAATTTTGGACAATATTAGACTTCAATATCTTTCTCTGAGCGCAAGAATCAGCTTGATAGCTATTTTGGTTATGGAGATACGAAAATCACAAGGCGATGTATTTGTGTTGTTTGGAACCTAAAACAGTTTCTGTTGTGTACTATTTTTGACTAAGTTAACTGCGGAATTTAGAAAAGGGTTCTATAAGAAAGTTGTGGAGAATTTGATAAGCTTTCCAACGGTATTTTCGAAAGTTAATTGCTGTTGTTGAGCCTCTTGATCGGAGCGTCCGGTCGCTTTCCGTCAGCGTCCGGTCCAGCGTCCGGTCACCTCTGTGAGCTCGTTTCTTTGCGATCTTGCGTCCGGCTTGGTTCCTATTTTCTTGCTTCGACTTTGCTTGATATCTTGAGCCTTCTCTTGTGCTTCTAAGGTCTTGCTTATGGTGTTGATCATCGGATCATTACGTTGCCTTCGTTCAAGTCACGTCTTGCACCATTTTAAACTACAAAACAATCACTTGCAAATCCATTAGTCTAATTTGGTTGTGTTGGTCATAAAACACAAAAATCCAAAGTAAATGGGTTTAGAGTCCATTTTCCTTACATCGACAATGGCCAAAATTCATAGAATATTGAGCCTGTTTGGTACAGTTTATAAGCTGTTTATAGCCAAAATAAACAAAAATCAACAGCCAAACGTCACATTTTTCAGCAGCTTATTCTGGCCACGCTTATTTCCCGTAACTCTCATTTGTACTAAAAAGCAGAAGCTAAATCAGACCAGTTTATTTTGACCGTCGCTTTTACTCTATTTGTGTAGTTTATTGAAGAAGCGCTCTTCAGATAAGCTGTACAAACAGACCGCAAAGCCGTCGGGTCGGTCAGACCCCTATGAAATAACAGCAGGCTACACAGGTCGGCCGCACAGCTGCATCAGCACCTGCCACTGGGGCGTGCCACACTGCCGTAGGGCACAGGGGCAAGGCGCATCGTGCAGCGCCACGGCCCGAAGGCTGAAGTGGCCTCAACTAGAAATCTAGAATTGTTATATTAAATTAAATGGAAGACTGATTTCACAGTCTGTGAACTAGCTATTTATAAGGCTTTTCACGTCAGTTTTTTTGCTGGCAAGGAAACTCTAAATGAAGATGCATCAAAATTATGTACTTTGTTTCTCAATTTTTATGCAGTTACATACTTAGGCATGGGATGCGCCTAAATTATGCTGTTATGTGTTAAATTTGTTTAATATTTCGATGGTCTCCTCTTTGGTGTTAATTTTTTTTGCTAGGGGTAAAGTGGTTATTTTACCCATCACTTAACACCGTCAATTCCTAGAAATGGACGGAAGGCCAAAGAAGGAAGAGATTTTTGTTTTAGGGCCTCACAGGTAAGTTAAAAAAAAAGAGGGCCACATAAGAAAGATGCATTTTTTGAAGGCCATACGAGTAAATATCTCTATTTTTTTGTTAAATCTATTTTAGAGAGTAGCTAAATCAGTAAGTTTAGCTATTTTTTTGGCTAATCTCTTGGAGATGCTCTAAAATCTACAATTTACTAAGGACTAAAAATCATTTTTTTCATAGGTGGGTTCTTATGTCAGCAGCCACTAAAAATAGGTGCATGTGCCAAACTTGAGGGGAGTAATTTAGACATTTTTCCTTAATTTTATCTTCCATTAACTTACCCAGTTTTGATAGCGTATCCCATCCATTCAACTGTTCAATCATTTTATTTGTAAGAAAATCTCGGCCCATAATAACGCGTGGGGTATTCTTAGTTTATAATAAAAGATGGTGCACCTTAAGGCGGTGATGGTATTGGTAGTGGGTCGTTTGGGACACGGTCAATTTACAATGGTACGTATAAGAAACAATATTTCATAGAAAAATACAATATCAGACGGCTACTGAATGCGCAGAGTGTTTTGTACAGGCTGTGTACACAATGTAGTACACCATATATAAACAATAATTGAGCCTTAGGGCGCAGTTGTGCTGAGTCCTCACTTGAACTGCAATTTGCTTGCGAATGTCAAGCCAAAGATCCAGCCAGCCGGCACCACATTAGTAAACACGAGTGTCTGACCATCTGTGATGGTGACCCTGAACGAGAGCCTTTTCCCACTGAGATACGCCATAGAGTGCCAGTTTGCGCCCCAGTTGCGTGCCATGGGCATCCAGTCCGTGGAATCGGAGGTCCTGACATCCATGGATTTGATGGAGCCAGCCCCTGCGACGTTGGTGACGAGCACGAGGTTGAAGTAGTCGTGGCCATTGATCATGAACCTGACTCCACCTCGCCGAGCGCATGGAACTCTGCATGCACACCAAGTTTCCATTTAGTATTAGAGATCGACCATCGAGTGCAAGACAATTCTCCTCGCTTAATAAATGAGTGATTAGATTAGAGCAAACTGAACATCCGCGTATATAATACTGACCTTTGGTAGATGACGGGGATGATTCCGGTGCTGACGTCGCTGCCAATCTTCTCCCACGCCGGCTGCGCCATGTCGAAGTGCGGGCGCTGCTGATTGCACCATCCCCCGTCGGGCAGCGCCGAGTTGGGCGGGCAGAAGTTGGTGGCGGTGACGGTGACCGTGACGCCGGGCTTGCACAACGTCGGGTCCGTCTTGCGGTCGCAGGCGATCTTGTAGCACTGGCCGCAGGACGCGCCGTCGTTGAAGAGCACCGTGCTCAGCGCCGCCGTGCGCGAGCCGTAGCCCTGCGAGTACAGGTTCCCGTACCCGCACGCACCGCCCATGGTCCCGGAGGCATCGGCTCCGCCGTAGAACGTCGCGTGCGCGCCCCTCTGCCACCCGGTCGTCGGCGGCGGTGCGTTGGCTTTGGCTGCCACGGCGGCCAACGCTGCCCAGCTGACTGTGAGCAGAAGCAGCAGGGCTGCCAAAACTGGAGCTGATGGAGCCATTCCAATCGATGGATGTGCCGATCAACTGCACGGAGTCAGCAACTACTCCAACAGTGTCTAGAGATGCAACAGCCAACAGAGGTGTCTGTGTTGTGTGTCCGGCCGTTGGAGTGTGTGGTAGATCACTTCAATTTTCCTTTGTTGATGTGATTGTCAGATAGATTGTGCGATGTCTATGTGCCTGTGCTGTGCATTATATATATCCTTTGATGTAGTACGTAATCGCTACTCAATTGGTGTCTCGAGGATTATTATTATTATATAAGCAGATATATGCCGTGGTATGGAGGAGGCGGCAGGCAGGGGAGGATGTAGGCGCTAGCTAGCGTGCACATGCGCACGGCCGCGCCGCCGCGCCATGGCCGCTTGACGGCGAAATCTGAAGAATAGAAAAGAAATGCAGGCGCAGACACGTTAGCGCCACACCTGCGTCCTCATCTCGCTACACTTGCCTTCTCGCAGCCAATCGTCGGCTCGTCTTCAGCTGTTGGAGGACGTAGTCGGTACTCCCTTGTCCAAGGAAGCATGAAGCCGGTCGAAGGAATGCCTGTACCTGGTCCGGCCGCCGCGGAATCAGAGAGTCAGAGTTGAGTTAACGTCAAGCCAGGATAACCGGATGTATGTTTATCACGGGAGCCTTGCGAAAGTAGCAGGAGCATGGGTACAAGGGTAGTTCCTTGGCTAAACTACGGATAGTTTCTATATCTATTAATTTATATAGACACTACATATAGAAATTATAGTCTTAATAGATAATTTCTGCAGAATAATTTTTTATCCAATCACATACATTCTCTACCAATCATATCTCTTCACGTCTTGATTCTTGTGTAGACATGGTTTCTAACTTAGATCCGGTTTGTATAATTTTTTCTCTCTCTTCAATAACTACATTACCATATCATTAAAACGCTTAGGTGACAGTATAATTAATATCCATAGAAACTATGATGGTTTCTGTATTGGGAGCGCCCTAAGGGTTTCACACAAGAAAAAAATATTTTTTAAAAAAACTCCAGAAAAAATAATTTAGTGGAGCAACGCAGCTTTATTGCGAGCAGGCTGATTTGAGTTTGAACAACAAGCTTCCCCTGTTGAGCACAGAAAACCCAATATATGCCCGAACCCTTAAAAAAAACACTAAGCCGGCTCAAGTACTTAAGTCTCTCATCAGCCCCAAAATTCCACGACGAAACTCGGGTTTTTACATAACTTACCACTTACAAAAAAAATGATATTTTTCTAAAATTACTTAGTACAGAAACAGATAAGCATACGTACACGTACCCTCACCCTTATGATTATGAACCGATATACATACCTTATTCCTATAAGCACCTTTAAAACACTATGCCAATAGATCTTGAAATTTATGAAGTCGTCACATGTGCCTCGCTATTGAGGAGCACATCACCCTACCACTGAAAAACACAAGTTAAACCTTAGAGTGAATCTTGAAAATGTGAGTTCCCGCATCAAGTTGAGGGTTTGAATTCGGATATGCAAATTTCACTACTAAAATCCCAATTATATTACACTCAGTTTGCAAAAGAAAACGAAATACTAAGAGTTGTCCAACCCACACTCCGTACCACACCCTAATGTGCAAACGAATTAGATACGGATGAATACCACTTATATTACATTTGTTTTTATATTTATATTTGGATTCGAATACGAATAGTATCAGCTATATCAAATAGGATACGAATGGATATCGACATCATAAATATGTGATTTGAATATTTGGATACCTATACGGTATTGGATGTTGAATATATAGACTCGAGATACGGACAAATCTACACTCCCCTAAACAGATTTAGACTCGGTCGAATAATATTTGTACCATTTGCACCATTTAAACCCCAAGGAGTACTTTTATCATATATCGTAGAACCCCTTTGATTTTGCTAATATTTTGTTGCCTGAGATTTAGCTTTGATATAATTGTCGTTGTTTCTCTATATGTGCAGCCGTCGATTAATTCAAGGTTATCCGAAACATGAACTTGATATTTTAGGTTCTCCCCTTTTTATGTGAATCCCGTCATTTCTTATCTTAAAACCAAAAAGTTCAAAAACTAGAATTACCCAACCCAAATTTTTCGAAAGATCGCCCTTGAGAGGGGGTGATTTGCTTTAATACATGTTCCTATATAAACTAGGTTTAATACAGCCGAAAACAGTGAGATAGGATTTGTATTGTGTGAATCGACGAGACTTTATTGCCTCAATATGGATTGTCAACATTTTTGTTAGCTCAAATGATAGAAAATAGACCAGTACTTGTAATTTATACAGCTAATTCTATCATCGCAGCCGTCCTAGCTCAGTGGTAGAGCGCGTGGCTTTTAACCACGTGGTCGTGGGTTCGATCCCCACGGACGGCGTTAATTTGGTCGATTTTTTTTCCATCTCCCTCAAAAGCGGACATATTTTGCAACAACACTTGTTCCTACACGCCTGAGACCTGAGTTACTGACTCCATCCAGTTAAAACTACTATCTTGTTAATTTTTATGGCTTTTTAACTTTAATAACCCATTGAATTCCTGTACAGTATTATGAAAGTTCATTCCATATTAATTTAAACTGTTTTGAAAGCCGTTGAGGCATTGACAATCGACATCCAGTTAAAAATACTGCTCAGGGGCTATTTGGATCAAAGAATTTTCATAGGAAAATCAAAGGAAACCAAAATGTAGGAAAGGGAGAAGAACGTGTTTGGAACAAAGGCCCCGCTTTTCGATTTTACGAATCTTGGCTGAAAAATACTGTTCTGACTAAATTGTTGTGAGAGAAAAATACTGTTCCAGCTAAAAAAACAAGCCGAATACGGGACAAGCCGAATATTCGGTAATCTTTCCTTTCCTCTATAACACTGTACCGTCTTCAGGATTTCACAGGCGTACTAGTTGCTTGTTGCTCAATGCTCCCAGCTCATAATGGCGTCAAGAGCCAAGTCAGCTACTCATGTGCTGTTTTTCCTTCGTTTCGATTTGCGGTGTTCCAAACACTCTTTCTTGTTATATTATATTCTTATGTTTTTATTTTTTCCTCTGTTTTTGCTAGAATGCACATATCAATTTCTTTTGTTTTTCCTGCTTCTCTGTTTTATATTTCTTTATTCCAAACAAGCCCTCAATATTGTTAATGTTTTATCGATTTATTATAATTATAACTTTAATAACTACTTTCTGCTTATAGCATCTAATAACAGTAAAATATTACGAAAGTCGAAGTTTCCAATTTAAACTCAGACAGACACCCGTGCCCGGACGCCCACACTACACTCTATTTTCCGCGCTCAGCCAAGACGCCTGAGCATGCATTTCGCGCGCCCACGCGGGGTCTGCGCTGCCCCGGACGACGCCCACGCCGCTAGACCGCACTCTGGGACCGCTCGTGCCCTCTCCCCTTCTCACGCGCATTGCAGCATATGCGACATCCGACCTACTTTTGCTATATCCAGATAAAACACTTGCAATATACTTCCGAAATAGCTGAAACACTTGCAATATATGTCTAAAACACTTGCAAAACACAAAAAAAACTTGAAAACACGTGTGTAGCCATTACAAACATATGCAAACATCAAGATCAAACACTTGCAACATATGTATAAAAACACCTGAAACACTTGCATATATATATATATATATATATGAGTTTTGATACTTTGTATATATAAATATATATACATATATATGATATATTGACTCTAGTGATATGCATTTTAGTGTGATATATTGTATATATATAGGGTCCAGTTATATGAATTTTGATATATAGGAATTTTGATATATAGACTTTAGTGATTTGCATTTTGGTGTGTGTGTGTGTGTGTGTGAATATATGAATTTTGGTGTATGAATTCATATATTGACTACAGTGATATGAATTTTTATATATTAACTTTAGCGAGAAGAGATGGCGGGATGTCTCCCTGAACCGATTGTCCCGAGTTGGGGCTATTGTATTGCTTTGGGATTCGAACCAAGGTTGACGGCTGTATCGTTCAATCATCCTAGCATAGTAAGCAACGATATATATTTTAATATATTAATATATTTTAAATATGCTTGTACACAATATTTTTTTTATATATATATATATATATATGTGTTTTTAATGGACCGTAGGTAATTGACCCAATCATTTGGCTTGAAGAGACACTTTCATATTTCGGGGTTGAGGGAGTGGATGTTGAGAGATTTGATGTAGATAATGGTCGATCGGTCCAATCTCAAATTGGCTTTTTCATCGCCGCTAGGAGGGGTAGAGGTGTTGTACAAATCTCAGAGGTGGGAGTAAAGGCACCTGAGAAGAAAATTGCAATTAAATATGCTGTCAAATCATGTTTGACTAAGCTTGCGAATATTAGGTACACCCTGCCTACACTATCCTCCATGACGATACAAGCAATAGATGCGGGCTCGTATCATAATGTTGCGGGCTTTTGTGCAAGGATTGCTCGAACCAACCGAAATGATGTGGTAAAGTCGAAGTCGAACTCATAGCTTATATTCAGATTTGTTGTTATTCGAAAGCTTTGTTCTCATATCCATTTTTTGTGCCAACAATTATAGGTTGAGGACTATGACTTAACCAATGTAGGTTGTACCTTTGAAGCCATTTTAAACCAGACAATGTATGCATTGGGTTTTGATTGAAATATATGCTGATGAATGGCCAACACTAACTACTGAAGGATTTCAGGAAAAGCTGAATGGCCAACACTAACCCACCGACTTCTCAACCACCGCTTACCGTCGTTAATATTTGAAGCAAGAGAGAGTGCACTATCTAATGCGTTGCTCTACGTCAATAATATTTGTGGATACAAAATCGGTGACCTACATTTCACCGAGTACGTAATACGACGTAGTCAAACTTGGCAGTGATCTACTTGCGCTTGCATGAACTTGGTGTGTAATTGAACTTTGGGGTTGGACATCTAGTTTATTGTAATGACTTTTTTAAATTATTATGGTTTGTA